AGCTGCATATCAGTGATTTACATTTCCAATTTTAGTCAATTCGTGACATAAAACGAAAATAATCTTTCAGGTTCCATAATACCCACCTCATTCCTAATATGGTTAATAGTCACTAACTTCAAGTTGAATGATTGGTACAATATTACTTTGTTAGTGTCTTCATTCGCCACATACTTTACATTGTCATGACTTGTATGAAATGACCCAGGAGAGCAGTAACTTACAAAAAAAATAGCAGTTGACGGTATCGAAGTAAAGGGTTATACATTTAAGGTGAACAGTGGCCGAGAACGTTCCACAGTGACCTGATTAGCGAAACTGGTAATGAATTGATTAATGTTACAAATTTTTAACTATCCTCACAATTTAATTGCACAAACCCGTATCTGGCAACATTTAGAAAACTGTGTGAGAACTGAGTTCACGAATTCTGAAAGTTAGGATTATTAAGATATGAAATCTGACAAGAAATAAAGTGTATGTTGTTTCATCTTAAAGGGAACAGATATGACTCGAACCAAGAGTCAGAAAGAAAACACTGAGTGCAGAAGAAAATCTTTGAGAAAGATTAATAGGAAGAAGGTAAATAAATTCAACTGAGTGTCACTTGACGCTAACTAATCAATAACTTACTGTATGGACACAATTTACGAATATAGCAAGATTAAATCGATATTACTAACATAAATATCTGCCCCACAAACGCCCTGGTATGGCCGAAAGTGGGAAGAGTCAACTCTCAATCTACAAATTCCCTCACACGACCACGCTTATATAAAAACTGTCAGGGAAGTCCAATTCATTGTCGTCTCGTAGAAAGGGTGTTGTTTACGAAATTGTGAGGACGAAAAGCGAATGTCCGGCGTTTTAACTGGGTTGGCGAACACGGAGAGTCCACCTAGGGGAGTCGGAAAATCCTGACTACAAAACAATAGTAAACATAGGCTCCACGATCCTAAGGAAGCAAATGGCGTGAGAAACGGTAGTTGGTCACCGGCTATCATGAGACTGCATCTTCTAACGTTGCTTTACTGCCTTGTGGATTTGACCTTTAGGTCATAGTCTCGGGGTGTGGCCCCTTAAGTAAACCATCTACTTCGGTTTTGCCACCTGGGCAGTATCCTGGCCTTCACGCAAATCGAATGATTTATATGACGCATATGTATTTGGTTCCACTTTGTACCAATGTTTACGTGTTTAAATAAATAAAATAAATGATCTGCGAAACCGCTCCCCCTAAATTTGAGTAAATATATTTTCTGATAAACCTGGAGACTCATTGTGCCCAGTTTTATAACAAACACAAAATCTGTTAACTGTAAAATTGCTTTTTAGAGATACCATTTTATATTCTTTAATCTGCTTTTATTGATACGTTGTCAGTTTATGGAGGACGATCCTAGGTATTGGTTATAATATACTGGAATCGGAACTATTTTGTTAGTAGAGTTTATTTTTAAGCTATAAATAAGTGTGTTTCGGCAGACAATAATAATTGTTGTCATTAAAAAACTTAAAGTCTGTTGACAGACTATATTGATAGTTACATCTAACATATTCATGTTCCATTAAAGAATCAAAGTACGTAACTAAGTTACGTGAAAGATGTTTATGTGGTCTACTTCTATGGAGGAACGTAACGTTGGTTGAGCTGTGAAAATCCAAACTTCCTTTAATGAAATGCAACTTTTATATTGACTACAGGTACACTGCTGATAAGATTCAAATAGCGCAAAATCTCGTTCAAGGGTTTCCTGTCGAGTACTTCCAGCTATCATATTACATCCAGAGTTTGGTTTTACGTGAGATTCACAACCTACAATTAGAAACGTTCCAAATATCTTTAATACTTTTGACAGATATTCAACTTTAAAAACGTTGGTTGATTCTATATGGTCATCAATAAACTAGAATGTGATCAACGATTTTTCTAAATAGGTTCATACTTTCCAAGTAGGCGAAAATTTCACCCATATGCATTGTAATCAAAAATGCTACTGAAAACTATATAAGCTTATTTTCCTTGTTAAAATTTTATTGGAGGTCACTCCAGTCCTAAGAAATCATATAGCTTTGAGGCAGACTACGGAGTGCCATATTTATAAAATATAAATTACATTATGACAAGCTTTGATGAGAAAATGATCAAAAGCTTTCGAATGTGGAAAGGCTTAGTTCCGCGTAATCATTACTATATATCCTGCAATTAAAACTAGGAATTGTAATATAAAGAAATTCATTGTCCATTTTAACTTTACAAAATATGAAATAGCAATGTTACCTATAATTGATAACAAGTAAACAGGATATCTATCATACTGAAACTAATTTATATCTGTGTTGTTGAAGTATTTCATCGAAATCTAATTGTTTTCAATGGTCACTGATGGTAAGTGTAAGTAGGGGTTAATGCAATGACTTCATATTCATTTTCAGGTGAGAGTAAACCCATACAGTACTAATAATCAGGCTTTGAAGAGCGTAGTATCAAGCTATCTTTACGGTAATAACCTTAAAAAGCACAAAAAATAGTGTATATTCGAGTGTTGTTTTCTTAAAACTGTGCAAAGGTTACTTGATAATTAAATAACTTGACGCGTAACCAACGAGTTGCGGACTCAAACTCCGTCAACTTTATTTTGGACATCTGAATGGTAATACCATCTCTTAAAGACGTAGAAGATGAATGCAAAGCACGCTAGATAAATAAACCACAACTAACTTGAAACTAAAACTAAAAGGGCTACAATTTAGAAAAGAGGTGATTCATATAAGAAATCAACAAGATTAAAGTGATCCATGGAAATCAACTTTCAGAAAGCTTATTAACTAAAATATGGTGAAATATGAGTAAGACATTTAACAGATACTTAATATGGAAATTAGGTTTACCAGGAAGAACCAAATACTCAACTCAATAATTTATTTCACTGTAAGCTAATGTAGTCAACTTGTTACGTCGTATACACGCGTGTAGTTGTTGACCAACTTATATCAAATACCGTGCATTTTAGAGATACATTTGTGCACAATGCTAATATTCAACAACTTCAGTGTAGTTAATGAAACCATTTTCATTCTTTTCTTTTCTGATCGAATAACTAGAGTAAAACTACCATTCTACTGATGGAAGCTTTTTATTATAAAAAACAGTACAATTAAAAATATATCTTAATTAATTGATTCTATTTCAATTAAAATAATCAAAGTCTATGATTTGAGTATTCGTAAATGAACAAAATTCATACTAAAAATGTATTGAAAGTCAATGACCGGAGTTCACATTGAATAATTGAATAAAACAGAATTTCACCAAAATCAATAACGATTTATTTCTGACGATCGTACATCTCCAACATTCAACTTTTTCTCAATGACAAGATTAAAAAATCAGACATGATTTAAGGTTATTTTGATACAGCTTTAAATCAATGGTTGCATTTGTTGTAGATCTATTTTGTGGTATTAAGGAATGCTCAAATGCAGATATGTCTAATACATCAGGCCTAGCAATACTAGTATTTTTACAGTTATGAAGTGATAAGTAGAGAGCTGTGCGAAGATATAACAAATAGTCACAACAAATTAATGAAGGACCAGTCAGTTGGCTAGGTCATAACTCAACGTAGATAATATGTGTCCGTTGGCTGACGTTGTCATACAACATCACCACAGTATGATGAAAGTATCAAAACAAATTCTCGAGTGATAGTATAATAATAGTAGTAATAGTATAAGTGGTATTAGAACACATCATGTATATAGAAAATAGCATTAGAGAAGAAAGAATGAATTGAAGGGATAAAGTAATTATAGGATAATTCAGAACTGGATATCTAGGGGAAGATGCTGAATACGTGCATCTACACCAATGAGAAATATCCTAAGCCATGTCACTCAACGTTTCCAACTATCGGTACGATAGTCATGACACCAATTATGTGAGCTTCATCTGACAACACGGTTCAGTATAACAGTTAGTGAACTTTACGCATTGATGTCACAGCTTGATTTGGTAGAGCTTACAGATTTCTTCCAGCCTACTACATAAACGAACATCGCCTGTTAAAGTATGAGGCTTTGGGGGGAAAGTAATACATGTCCGCACCCGAATGCCCTGGTACGGTCGAGAGTGGGGAGATTCAGCTCGCCCTCTCGAAATACTCTCACATGGCCACGCGTATATAGCCTCTGCCAGGGAAGTCCTACTCATTGCCTTCTCGTGGCGGGGGTGTTGTTTTCGAAATTGAGAGGGCGGAAAGCGAATGTCTGGCGCTTTAACTGGGTTGACGAACACGGAGAGTCCACCTAGGTGAGTCGGAAAATCCTGATTCCAAAACAATGCTGAACATGGGCTTCAGTGTCATGAAGGAACAAATGGCATATGACTTTATTTATTTATTTTAGCACATAGATATTGGTACAAGGAGGCACCAAATACATATGCACCACACAAATCTCACTTGATATGTGTGAAGGCTGTGATACTGCCCAGGAGGCCAAACCGAAGTAGGTGGTTTCCTTAGGGGGTCACACTCCGAGCATTTGACACAAAAATCTAATCCACAAGGTAGTGGACCAACGTTATAAGATGCAGTCCCATGGTAGTCGATGACCAACAATTGGTTCATACGCCATTCGTTCCTTCAAAATACTGGAGCCCATGTGCATCATTGGTTTGGAATCAGGATTTTCCGACTCACCTAGGTGGACTCTCCGTGTTCGTCAACCCAGTTAAAGCGCCAGACATTCGCTTTCCGCCCTCTCAATTTCGTAAACAACACCCCCGCCACGAGAAGGCAATGAGTAGGACTTCCCTGGCAGAGGCTATATACGCGTGGCCATGTGAGAGTATTTCGAGAGGGCGTGCTGACTCTCCCCACTCTCGACCGTACCAGGGCATTTGGAGGCAATGGCATATGAATCATTTATTGGTCAACGGCTGCAATAGGACTGCATCTTCTGACGTTGATCCACCACCATGTGAATTAGATTTTTATGTCAAATGCTCGGGGTGAACCCCCTAAGGAAACCACCTACTTCGGTTTGGGCACCCGGCAGTATCATAGCCGACACACAAATCAAGTGACTTGTGTGGCGCATACGTATTCTGTGCCCTTTGTACCAATGTTTATGTGTAATACATGTCCAAATCTCTGTAGTAGATGAGGATCCTGTTGGGGCCGGTATATCCCCCAAACTCATATTTTGTAATTTTATCATATCGATTAAATGTTTAAATATTTGAATGGCAGTCAGTTGATGAACTTATCGATTAAATTTTTAAATAGCAGACCATTGATGACATTGATTATTGTTTAAAAATTTCCTATGACAAAATCGATATATATTTGTATAAATACGCTTGACTTGTATGCTTGATCTGATCTGCCTGACCTGGCTTGGTATCTGCTGTTGCTTGTAGAATACACTTTCTACGCCTTACCAAGACTTCTTGATCGAGTTAGCTGAGTCGAAGACAACGGACCAGAATAGTCTATTGAGTCTCTGAATCCTGAGCCTTCGTTCCGTTCCGAATAAGTCGAATCAGTAGTATCCTCAAGGTTAACGAACCTAACAGATCCACTATTTTATCAACTAAATCGCCACACTAACCCCTTACACTGAGTCTATCTTCAGCATTGCTAATGAAGTGATTCCGAAACATACAAGAAATGTTTCGGATTCACATACATAATTTCAACAAGTAGGATAGCGTTTGACATATTCTTGGGAATTCTTAATGAAGTTGAGGAGAATACATAGAGTTAACCTTAAAAACTAAGAACAATCACGCTTAACATTTTTTGAGAAAATCAACATCATGAACTTGCATTTATTAATGTGATATATTAAAATCTTTGTAAATAACTAGTATCAACTAAATATATGTTGAAGCAAACATTATCGGTTCCTTGCTGATCTGATGCCACAACTTTTCTACAATATTAGGGACCGACTGAGACTTAAACTGATAAATATTTGAGGGAACAAAACAGTTGAAATCCTGCCTATGTTCAAGCAATTCGTGATTGTCAACAAAGTCTATTTGGTAGCAAAGCAATAAAACTGCTATAATCTCAATAAAGTATCATAAGTCACAATAATAGACACTATCTTTACCATAACTCTTCTGGTATGGAACTTTTCAACTTTTTATCCTTCTGTTGATGTAGTGTAGCTACCTGAGCAACATGAATATTTACGCGAGGTATTGTGTTGCTTTAATGGACTGACGAATTTACAGACAGTTACTTATAATGACTTTTTTCAAGATTGACGATGAACTGTTAGTTTTTAAAGCTGTAAAAAGATTTTTTATTTATTACACTTAAAGAAAAATATAACAGTATCTCGAAATGAAAGGGAATCCACAAAAACTCGAATTGTAATTGAAAATGATCTTGAGTTAATATACATGTATATGAAGGTAGATAAAGTGTGTGTGTGTATGTGTGAAAAAAAAACCAATTATACTGTACAAATTTGATAGAACAAATAAAAATGCTGATAATAAAACTGGTTTACCATCTTTAGAAGGAAAAAATGTCGAGATTTGAATAAAAGACGAAAATTTCACCGACGTACTTTCGGTTTGCGTTTAGTTTTTTGCTTCCTGTTGAAGCTAACATGTGAAGGAGACCAACGATCATCTGATGAGAATGAGTCGATTGACAAGTCATCATCTTCATCAGTACATTGTGATGAATTAACAAAAGAGGAGTCATTTGATGGTTCTGAAGTGGAAACACAAGACATTTCTGAAGTATATAAAGATTGACTAGAAGAGTTACTATCATCAGATATATTTGAAGGTCGGCGTCGACGAGGTCGCTTACGAATAGGACGTTTTTTATTGGATTGAGTACTGACAGTATTTTTCTTAGATTTAACGTTTTTACTACTACTGCTTGTTGAAGGGAGATTTTCAATTCCTTGTTGACTTTGTTCATTGGATGCTTCAGATGTACTTCTGATACGAGTAGATCGTTCTTGTATTAGGCGTGCTAATGCAGCAGCTTGTTGTTGTTTGATTATATGAGCATTGCGACGACCAGTGATTGTCGAAGAACTTGCTATTGAACAAGGTTTATCTGGGAATTCATCTATAAAACAATAATGACAGAAATACAAAATAGACCTGAAGATTAATAAATAAAATATTTGCAAACAAATAAAATCTTTCATTCATTTTCAGCCGTTTAAGATGAAATAATAGGAATTCAATTAAAATAATAAAACGATCAGACTGTAAACAAATAAATACTACTTATTTAAAGAGTAGAAGAATTCACGAAATAAATGATTATAATTTAGTTACCAACAATACATCAGAGTTATGATGAAGTTGAACATGATATATATAAGAAAATAAATCTGACTATCTAGACATAATATTAAAAGTTGTGACCAGTGTGTAAATTAACCCGACTAACTGAAAGAACAGTTAGCCTGGCAAAACAAAGTCCAAGTTTCAGTTAGCAAAACTGACGATTAGAAAAACAAAAGAAACGCAAAATGAAGCATTAAAACATTAAAATGGGATCATAGACTTATTTGAGTCAAAGGCTGTCAAGAAATTAAGAAAAATAAAATAATGGGCAAAACCGTTTTATTAGTTGACAACAAAAACTGACTGAAGTTGATCAACTACTGTGAACCAGTAAGGACTGGACAGCTGCCTCAACCCATTATGGGACTCGCCACTGGAAGAACGCGTGCACAACAACGTTAGAGATCGTGGCTAAGTTTCTTAGAAAGCCCTTAAGCTTTAGACCATTAACAGAGGCATACATCCTTGCTGACGAGGCCGCAGACTTACACTTCCGCCGCGGAGTCTCATACGACTGTCTAGTGCTTTTCGATCTTTAATGGTTGTCTGACTGAGGCCAGTCTGTGAGGTAAATCATAAAATTTTAAAAATTTTGCAACTCCCCTTTATTATTTATTTGAACACATAAATATTGGTACAAAGGGGCACCAAATACATATACACCATACAATCACAATGAGGTTGTGAAGAGACAGAGAATGTGAAATGCGTATAGTAATAATAATAATAATAATAATAATAATAATAATAATAATAATAATAATAATAATAATAATAATAATAATAATAATAATAATAATAATAATAATAATAATAATGGGAGAAACAGTTCAGTTAGGAAAAATATAACCAGAAAGAATTCCTTCAGTTAAAAAAAGTCACATTTACGAAGAAAGTAAAATAAAGTTACAGAAGGATCGCCAACGGCTTTTATTCTGAGCCATATTTGATAACGTCTCTAGTCACTGGGTCGCACCATCTCTAGAACTCCGACCAGGGAGTCATGAAGGATTAGCAGAAGCCAGTCTTGTACAACTTTATTTCATACCACGACACCTTGTCATTCACTGACCATCCCTCGGCTTTTTCCAACCAGTCCCAGCGACGGCAAACAATTTAAGACGTCGAACTCTCTGGGACAACATTCGTAGGTGATGTGTGGGTAAGAATGATAATGATTAGTTGTTTGCTTAGTCAGACTAGTAGATAGTCTGACAGGCGTTGCATGAGTTATATATTCTCCTGTCCTTATTATTATTAATGATCGATTGTGTTGAATTGTGTCGGTCTTTGGTGTGAAATATATTTACGTTCTAGTCAGGTTAACCACGTGTTTCTGAGGTGAGTTGTGTTACAGTCCTGTAGAGTAGACACTGGGAGGGAATCTAGTGCAGATATTCGTCGAAGGTAAATTAACGTCTCATTCGTAAAGACAGAGAAAACTTGAGCGTTATAACAGTAGTTCATGTCGAAGCTATTGAACTCGATGTTGCAAGATAGTGACAATAATTGGTACAAGGGGGCACCAGGTATATATGCGCCACAATTCCCTACACCCATCAGAGCTGTTTCCAGAATGTCATCGATAACAAAGTTGAAGAGGAATGGTGAGATTGGGCAACCCTGTCTAACCCCACTGCTCGAATGGAACAATGGAAAGAGATGGTTGTATGCCCTCACTCTGCCTGACGTGTTTGTATATAGGGCTTTTAGGATGTTAAGAAACTTCTCAGGCACACCCTTCTTCAATAGACAATCCCAGAGAACAGTCCTATCCAACGAATCGAAGGCAGCCCTGATGTCAAGAAACACTACGATTGTTGGCCTTTGATAAGCATGACGGTGTTCTAACATTTGGCGGAGGGTGAACATATGATCAATACATCCTCGACCAGAACGAAACCCAGCCCGCTCCTCGCGAGTCAATCTTTCTCGGGTTTCGAACAATCTACGAAGTATGACGGAAGCCAATAATTTGGACTCAATCGGGAGTAGACTCATTCCCCAATAGTTTTTGCAGAAACGGTGTGAACCCTTTTTAAAGATAGGAACAACTATCGACTCATTTTGTGATGTTGGAACACTCCCTAATTGCCAGACCTTCGTAAACAACTCAGTCAGTTCCTTAACCAGGAAGTCACCACCATCTTAAGAAAGGACTGGAGGTAAGTCGTCTGTGTCTGGTGATATGTAGCGCATCAAGAGTTGGAGTTCCTTGCGGAATTCTACCTTGCTAGGTGGATCAGTCGTCACAGGCCATAGACGGTAGAACAGTTTGATCGATGTTGCCGATACAACCCCCTACATTAATAAAAACACGGCTGAACAATTTATTATCACAACATGAAAACTCACCTTCAGAATCGGATGTTAGTACCTTTTTAGATGTTTTTGGTCTACTATTAACCTTGTTATTATTAGATTTAGTTGAGTTTCCTTTCCTCTTAGACCCACCACCATCAAAAGCAAGAGATAATGCCTTGTTATATAACAATCTTTCATTATCTCTTAAGGGGATATGTGAATTTTTCTTAAGCATTGTTTGATTCACTCGATGAGCAGTTACTTCCAATAGTCGTTGATAGAAAGCAGATTTAGAACCAATGATATCATACTGATTGATATTGTTAACGGAACTATTAGAGGTTCTCAACATAGTTTGCACAAGTTCTGGAGGCCAATTACTGTCTGCACGTGAGATCTGTTTAGGATCCATAATCAATTCATTACGTATAGCGTTAAATTCATCTAAATGGGAATTTAAATCATTTTCTTCAGTTGAGCCAGACAAAGAATTGGGAAGACTTATAGACTGTAACGGGCTAATCACTACTAACGGACCTTTATTACCAAATCGAATTTCATCTCTTGTGCGAATAAAGTCAGATGAAAGATCCGACTGCTGAATGTCATTTGTCGGAACAGTATGATCAGTAGTAAAATGGGTCTCCAATATTCTGTTATTTGGTTCACAAAGTGAAGAATCTGAATCATCATTTGTCAGATCGATTTCAAGCGTGAAAGTTCGTGTAGACTGCGTATTACTTGAGCTATGAAGAATCGAAAATGGAAGTGATTTAGATATACGTAAAAACTGGTTTAAAAGTAACTAGTTACATTTGAAGGTATTAAATATATTATATCCACTGATAATTCCGACAAGAAGTTATCATAGTAGTGATATTTTTATAGACAGGATATATAAAACAGATGTATTGGAACTAGTAGTAGCATCAAGGATTAGTGTTTCTTCCCGCTTGGGACTCGTCAGCCCAATATGCCCTCCTCTAACAATAATTAATAATGATAATAATAATACAAAAAATGACTTTCTAACTCCCAAAAATGTATGCTTATATGATGCGGACTTGTTTCTCGAAATGTTATCATTTTCTGTTTTTTAAATGTCTGTTGCCTTAATATGCAATCACTACAGTATAAAATCTATTGCATAACTTATTCAACAGTTTATAGATAAGCACACATTACATAATGCAAGTGAAACAACTGAAAAGGTGTAAACACCAGTGGAACATAGGAAAGTGTTGACTTACATAGTACTTTTTTCTTTTAAACATGGAAAACCATTATTTATATCATCATTTTGACCGTTATTACAAGTGGTTTTAAGCTTATCAACATTTTGTGGACACTGATTGACACTTTTATCATTACTGCCATTTTGGACATATGTCTCCGTCTCCTTTGTATCATTATTATTAATATCATCATCATCATCACTTAAGATAATTACCTCAGGTTCTGGCTGACAATTGTCATTATTACTATTAGTATTGTTGTGATTATCTTTAGTTACTTGTTCTGTCGTTTCCATATATGTATTGTTTTTATCAACAGTGTTTGTTTCGGATTCATTCAATTTATCAATAGTCACTTTGTCTCCTTCATTAGGTGCTTCAAGATTTTTCAATGTAATAGGAGCCTTTACATTTTCCACATTATTCTGTTCAATTTTTAAATGATTAGCTTCCGTGATGAAAGAACTATTTGGACTAACGTCATTAGGATTATTTAAATACCAATCACCATTTGCATCCAACTGAACAAATTCAACGTCAACACTACGAGGATTTTTCAAAATACTCATAAAAAATCTGGTTTGGAAAAGAGAATGAAATTACAAAAAAATTACTTTTTACATCAATAATCTGTACACTTCAATTTACTGTTTATAAGAGTAGGTATTAGGCAATTAGTGCTTCAAGGGATACAAGATTAACGATACATGAATAGTGAAAAATGAAAATGTTATTAAAATCCATCAATCAGTCGTAAGCAATGTAGAACCTGTCACATATATCCATAAGATCAAGTTGTCACACCACATCAACACGGTATGATGAAAGTATCAAAACAAATTCTCGAGTGATAGTATAATAATAGTAGTAATAGTATGAGTGGTATTAGAACACATCATGTATATAGAAAATAGCATTAGAGAAGAAAGAATGAATTGAAGGGATAAAGTAATTATAGGATAATTCAGAACTGGATATCTAGGGGAAGATGCTGAATACGTGCATCTACACCAATGAGAAATATCCTAAGCCATGTCACTCAACGTTTCCAACTATCGGTACGATAGTCGTGACACCAATTATGTGAGCTTCATCTAACAACACGGTTCAGTATAACAGTTAGTGAACTTTACACATTAATGTCACAGTTTGATTTGGTAGAGCTTATAGACTTCCTACACCGTACATCAAGCTTTGGTGAATGGGCATACGTAATGCATGCCGAAATTTGGGTTTTGTTGTATTCGGTCTCACTCGTTAGGTTTTTCTCATTTCTACCTCGATGTTCACTGTCATAAACTGTTTTGGTGGACTTTTCTGATTTTCCTCCGTGAGGAAATGCCACATTTCACATAAATTTTTACAAAATTGCTTTCTAGTCAAGTCGGTCGTTCAGTCGATTAATTAGTAATCGAACTTGTTGTTCTACATCTCTTTATTAATTAAAATTCCAAACTTCTTATAGTCTATTGAGGTACATAGTTACAATTTCCTTCCGTATTTATTTTTTAAAGGACTGGTGATCATTCTGAATGGAGAGTAGTACTAAGGCTAGGTTGGGCGACGACGGATTTCTATGTTCCAAGCAATGCATCCTCCAATGCTGCGTCACATCGAGCCCTTGTCTTGGAGTCATTACCTCGTTGCCTTTCTATTCGTGTCTCCGGTCGACCCGTACCCTTACCTGACCCCATTTTTCATGGTGGTCAAGCTCAACGTCTTGGAAAGCGCCTTCGTTTATCAATTGATATAACAGACAAAGTATGTGCATCTTTTTAATCTGATTATATTATTTTTAGCTCCATCGCTTTTTTGGCAAAACGTTTATTCAATACTGTCATAACCTGTGGCCTTGTGCCCTATTAGTATATAATGTAATGATACCGCCAATTAGAGAACAGTGATTTATTGACAGGCCCAATCACACATAGTCGTGACACCAATTAGGTGAGCTTCATCTGACAACACGGTTCAGTATAACAGTTAATGGACTTTACGCATTGATGTCACAGCTTGGTTTGTTCAAACTTATAGATTTCTTACACATATTAAACGATAGACATAACAACACTAAAAAAGTCCACTTACTCATCTACTCTTAAGTCACGAAATGGTGCAGAGATACTACAAATAGGGCAAGACCAACGAGGTCTTCGCATATTGATTGTTAAATATGAGTGTAAATCAAAACACTGAAGATGTGAACAGTTGAACGATCGTACAGGAAGCTGCAATAAAAAAAATGGAAAGATCAAATAATTTTAACAAATAACATTCTTTTATTTATGTTTAAATAATTTAAATTGATAGTTGACATGATTATTATATTAGACTGTTGTATGGATTACGCTTTTTACGTTGGCATACAAAAAATGTTAGTTTCGAATACTGTTTTATAAAAACACCTTAATGAAAAGTTATTAGAATTGTATAATCTAACTTTCGGGAGTGATAAGTTAGTTGTTAAAACAATGTGGTCAGCTCCAAAGAATCACATGAAGTGTTTGGCTCAAATGAATTACATTATAATTGTAGTATACACAGCAAACACAGCTTAAGATTTTATTTAACGATACTCTTAAATGCAGGCAATAACAACGCTGTTGGAATACCTACACTTGACTCACATATTCCATCTTAAAAAATGACACAGCATTGCCTTTTTGTATTAGTACGTTAAAGGGGAGGGGTTATAGTATGTGAAACCGAATGACACTGAAGAAAAATCAAATCTAGGTACGATACTACATTTGTGTAAAAACTACGAGCAGAGTTCAGTAGTAGACGATTATTAAACCACAAAAATACTGATAATAAAGTGCTAAATAACAAATTTAGAAAGGCAAACTAATCACAGGAAAGTAAGAACAATGTCAGTGTAAAGGGGGAGAAACTTACATCGATTCTTGTTCGAGTTAGTGGACACAATAAGCACACAGGTATGTAGTCAGCAAGCTCAACGTCACCATCTTCAAAACATAAATCACTATCGTCAGACGATTTTTGAAGCCGAGATTTCAGTTCATGCTAGAGTTGAAAAATAACGGCAGAATAAGAAATAAGTTGTTTATTAATGATTACTTTTGATCTAAGAGTTGTAGGAATAAATAATATCAACAGATGTCTTTCACAAACCACAAAAGATTAGTATGAAATGCAAAAGTGTTTGGAATTAATCATTTTGTACTTAAAAATCTGGCTTAAAAATAATTCAAGATTACAAAATCAAACCAGCTGTTTCCTTCAAATGAATGACCACTTTTTTCTGACAAGTTATTTTACTGACACAAACCAAACTCATAGAACATAACATCTTACAATAATTATTCACTTAAGTGTGGTACAAAAACACTCGTTTACATAATAAGATTGATTAATATTAGACTTCTCTAGCATTCATTTGTAAGAAGTAAACGATGATGTTAAACAATATATAGACGTTGATAGTACTTGATTATCGGTGTCCTTAACACGTTGCTCAGATGGAGTACAAATGCAAACCCTGTTAAAGGTTAGGTACAACGTTTAAAAAAGAAATATGATGAGACTATTAAACTGACTTATTTCAAGGTAGTATATATCAAGTCACCATTTGTTTGATGTTCATTGTTGGTTAATGGAGTCTTTAAAATAAAACGTGAAAAACCTAAATTAAAACACAGAATTAGCCTTCGGAATTACAGTTTTGGCAGTATAAGGAACTAGTCTTTTAGGTTAAAACTAGTGGGATTTGATTTTACAACTTTGATAAACTAGGGTTCACTCCGTCGAATAGCAGTTATTTGGATCATTCCTGTTGTTAATAAGTCAGAAGATCAACTATTTCCATCATTAAACTTTACTAGAAATCACAATAGGCGTTGTATTGAACAATTTAAGGTTGAAAACTATCACTTCTGATTAATTAGGAGCTTACTAGTTACTGATTATTGATATAAATAACAATTATCTGACTATATCAACCCGAATATATTTTTTGTTGCCTGTTGCTGCTTTCACTTCAAAAGCATCAAAATACATTTGGACACTAAGATAAATTAAGTGCCAAGATCGTTTTCATAGCGTTATGCATCGGAACTGTAAAAAAGACTGACAACTAGCAAACTAGTTGAGACAAAAACCATTACTTTTGTATTATCAGCAGGAAGTGAGAATGCCGGTGGCAAACAATTGTCATATGCCCCGAAAACCCCGTGATCTTCTAAAGTTCCTGAACCATCTGCATTTACTGTTAATGATGGAAATTCGATAGGATCTAAGAGTGGTCCATTGATGAAATTTTTGTAGGCCTCTGGATTTTCCAAATTAAAGGTATTTCGAAGATCGGAAACTGAATAAGCTCGATCAAGTGTAACTTGAACTAGAGGCAACCCAATTAGATGACATAACAATGGAGAAACCAGTCCATCAGCAACCAAGTTTAAGAGTCCTACAGATTGATCTTCCAACGGTGCATGCAACCAGGTTAATTCAATATCGACAACTCTGTTTCTAACTGCAGAACCACACTTCATGAGTACCTGATTAAAAAAATTATTGTTCAAGTTGTAACTCGTGAAATCTATGTGGAACAAGTAACACAAATACGTAAATATACTCCGTTTGTTCATCCCCTATCGGGAAATTTATTAACGTGATAAGTAAACGGTAAAAAGTCACTAATCATTAAAATATTTGTGAGATAGATAATGCAACACTACATAGTTGGATATCTACAATAGATTCATTGGAATGTTTACTTCAATTTGTCTAGAAATTAACTAAATTCAATGAAATGAACAAGGCTTCGGTGAAACCAAGTTAAAAACAAAAATTTAGTGAATGTGTTTACCAAACTTGTTGAAAATTGCCTAAGTTATGTTGGAAACCATTATAGATGAAACTTCATGTCTACAGTGTTTCCATCATGTAATTTTTACTTCGATGGCTTGTGAAGAATAGTTCAGTCTGGAGATCATTTTCGTCACGAATCAAATGAAACCAATTAAAAAACAAGATCAAGCACTGGGTAAAGGTTGAAAATCGGTTTGTAAAGTAATGAACTTTCATCGTCTGAGGTGGTTTGGATATGTATTACATGGGCCCATACCTTGACACATAGTTGTAAGATTTTTCTTGTATGCATTTGCTTATTTGTGTGTAAAAATCCCTTCATATATAAAATCCATGTGATGGCACTTATTTGTTTCCCTTTATGTGTAACGTTACTCCTACTATTCAGTATTCACGTTTAATATTTTCAATATTATTGATTTGTTTGAAGTGAATATATTGGCTACAGATTCCGAAATTGACCAATGTATATATGTATCATAATCTAATTTACTTACGACTGATTGCTTGAATTGAAGAAACGTTGAAAACCGGGATATGCTAGACAGTTGTTTCATCTTAGATTTCGATTTCCTAGCAGCGTCCCTTTGTATTTCTAACACAGATTGAATCTACGACTTTGAAACTTTAAGGTGAGTGCGTTATCTTGATAACACTCAACTAGAAATTCAAGGGTTTATATTTATAGCTTCTGTTAATCAACGATATTGTGCAAGCATTAGTTGCACTAATGATATCTATCTAACTAGAGACAGGCCTTAACCCCGGCAGTCACGATTTGTTAAGTGAACTTCAGGAATTTGTTATAAAGTTAGTCAATATTGAACATATCATTTTTTACTTATACGGCTTGTGGATATTTGTTAATTTATTTGATCGAACATTGTTGCATATACGAAACAAGAATATTGACAGGTTATATTTTATATGAATAAGCTGTTAAAACAAGAGATCTGTTGAAGTTAAACTAGATTAACTCGTTTACCAGGTGCTCGAGTATGAGCAGCACTATAAGTGTGAGGGTTAATGATACTATCCTACTGCTCAAACCGAATTAGGTGTGTCAGGGTTCGGACCTGCAACTGAGGTTAAAGCATAATTAAACCGTAGTAACATGGCCACCTTAAGAACGATTCATTTCCGTTATGCGGTAACTAAATAACTGTTTATTAACTTTCACACTGAGTGAGTAGAGAACATTGATTACCATTAATTCCAATACCATTCTCTAATATATCCCGAGATATTTTTTATTTCCAGTCAAGTTTTGAGATAGTTTAAAAGATGATAAAAAAAGTAAACAGATCCCACGGCATATCTAAGAATATAAAGAAAACTATTGAGGTTTTTGTACAAGCTTAGAATAAACCTAATTAGGCGATCTGGTGGAATGTATTAGATCATTACTATAACGTTTGTCCTCCCATTAAGTTATGTTTAAAACTCCTAGTCTTTAAATAACGATGTAAATAAAAAGGTTCACTGGTTATAATGTATTTGTTATATTCCGATGAGAATAATGAACGATAACTGCTGGAATTTATTTCTGGACTAATACTATACTATTTTTACTGAATAATTATTAAGTAGCTAAACTATGCATATTCATGTTCCTCCTATTACCAGCTTTATTTTCACTCACAGACTGTTAGTATACCGTTTACCGTTCTTGAGTTATGCCCAGTCTATTATTTACAATCTCTTACGACCACAGACACTTATAGCTAGATCTTGTACAAATATTATTTTCTATTTTGTGGTATGATGCGGTATGTTTGACTGGTGTGTATAAACCCAGTATGTTTGAAATACATAATTCATATCGTGAAGGCTGAGATTGGTGTTCTGGACTTAACAGGAAGCAGGACCGACAGATTCTAGACTATTCGTACTAGTTTTATGTGTGATTGGGCCTGTCAATAAATCACTGTTCTCTAATTGGCGGTATCATTACATTATATACTAATAGGGCACAAGGCCACAGGTTATGACAGTATTGAATAAACGTTTTGCCAAAAAAGCGATGGAGCTAAAAATAATATAATCAGATTAAAAAGATGCACATACTTTGTCTGTTATATCAATTGATAAACGAAGGCGCTTTCCAAGACGTTGAGCTTGACCACCATGAAAAATGGGGTCAGGTAAGGGTACGGGTCGACCGGAGACACGAATAGAAAGGCAACGAGGTAATGACTCCAAGACAAGGGCTCGATGTGACGCAGCATTGGAGGATGCATTGCTTGGAACATAGAAATCCGTCGTCGCCCAACCTAGCCTTAGTACTACTCTCCATTCAGAATGATCACCAGTCCTTTAAAAAATAAATACGGAAGGAAATTGTAACTATGTACCTCAATAGACTATAAGAAGTTTGGAATTTTAATTAATAAAGAGATGTAGAACAACAAGTTCGATTACTAATTAATCGACTGAACGACCGACTTGACTAGAAAGCAATTTTGTAAAAATTTATGTGAAATGTGGCATTTCCTCACGGAGGAAAATCAGAAAAGTCCACCAAAACAGTTTATGACAGTGAACATCGAGGTAGAAATGAGAAAAACCTAACGAGTGAGACCGAATACAACAAAACCCAAATTTCGGCATGCATTACGTATGCCCATTCACCAAAGCTTGATGTACGGTGTAGGAAGTCTATAAGCTCTACCAAATCAAACTGTGACATTAATGTGTAAAGTTCACTAACTGTTATACTGAACCGTGTTGTTAGATGAAGCTCACATAATTGGTGTCACGACTATCGTACCGATAGTTGGAAACGTTGAGTGACATGGCTTAGGATATTTCTCATTGGTGTAGATGCACGTATTCAGCATCTTCCCCTAGATATCCAGTTCTGAATTATCCTATAATTACTTTATCCCTTCAATTCATTCTTTCTTCTCTAATGCTATTTTCTATATACATGATGTGTTCTAATACCACTCATACTATTACTACTATTATTATACTATCACTCGAGAATTTGTTTTGATACTTTCATCATACTGTGATGATATGATGTGATTTCAGCCAACGGACATGTGTCAGAGCCTAATTTGTGTATGACTGACTTAACTTCTGGAAGTATAAAATGACGGAAGGAGTGATTTACAAATTCGCAAAATAAGATGGTAACTGAAATAATGTAGTTGGAGATAGTTATCAGAACCTGGACATAGGTTGAGACTCGTCAGTTAGTCGTATCTGGAATCAGAGAGTATCCAGCACCCCAAGTGGGTTTTGGACCAAAATCAGCCACTTTCATAGCATGATAATACGTTAACGATCTGTCCAAGCTGAGACTGACCTCCCGTAAGAATGAAATATGTACAATGATTAATCATTGAGTAGTAGTACTACGAACTAACCCGTCATTGATTGCTACTCGGTGATCAAAGTAAGCACGGTGACCCGTTTCTTAGCTTTAGTTCCCAGTATTCGAGAGTCATCATAGTATACGAATGAATAAAAGTAATAACATCCTGGTAGAGTTCGAAAATACCATGCATTCGAATATCAAAAATTATTACCCGACCACAAAACTTTGTTGATTGTAACGAGTTACTTATGAGTAGTTAAAAACAGAAGACAAAATTAAACAGACGACTAGTGGGAATAGTCGAAAACGAAAACAAACCACTGACGTGCATGATAGATCTATGAGTAAAAACATTAATATGAAAAGAAAAACAGCAGATACCCCCACCCAAATTAGGTAACATTAAAAGCACAAACAACGCATAAATGATAGAGACAGTCACCTACAGACATTTATTATCTGAACTAATGAAACAACACTCAGAAAAACCATGGAAGCATTGAGGGAAATTTGCAAAATACTCAACAAACATTACTTTTACAGTTGTATGAAGAGTATATATAACCTCAGAAAGTTCAACCAATAGAGAACTGTAATTAAAATACAGTATGCCCGCAGAGTTATTAAAAAACATCAAAATTGAAATGTCCAAACATCGAAGGATGATGAAATTTCACAACCTGATGAAACTTATAGCTGAATAAGAAACTGACGTGGATGCCAAGAACTAGTCTCTCCAGAACTAGCTTAAATGAAAAACCTCTGTTTGAAAAAGTATTAATTTAGACAGACTGTCCTCGGGCCGACCTGTCTAATTTCGATCACAAGTGACCTACAAAGGCGACCAATCAGGATGGAAGTTAAAAATCGATAGGTTAACTAGTGTACTGACACGCTCACAGTGAGACCTGCAGTCTGAATTAGTGGATCACTTGTTTAATTTAATTCATGTCTGTCTATCTAAACTTTGAATACATAATTTAGTGCGACAGACAAACTGGCGAAAACACGAATCAATATTTTAGTACACAGACCAATCTACGAAAATAACTAGAAAAATGAGAACTCGTGTTTAGTTTAACGTAATATTATTTTGCAAATAAACGATAAGAACTACTGTGTTTTATATCAGTGCTTGCATGGAAAATCGGTCCCCCCATATAGTTTAAGTTTCAGATGGCCATTAGAAATATAATCCCATGAAATTACATGTTCTTTGTTTGGACCATGTGGCACCCGTTACTACCTAAATAATATGACTTCGTAAAACAATTATTATGACAAATAACGTATATCACAAATTCTTCTTAGCATGTCAACGCGCACACTTAAATAATGTATTAAAAAGGAATTCCTTCATTTCAGCACTTTTTCTAAAGAACCTGAATAGTATAATAATGAGGCAGTGAGTCAAATGCAATCGATTTCAAGAAACGAAAATCAAAACTACTGCAAAGCACTATCGGCTAAGATGTATGGAGATGACAAGAAAACAAGTTTATGGATTTATTGTTATGGAGAGACTGGCTTTATTCAATATATGTTTTTAGTACGATATGGAATTCTCAGCACACAATATTTTAACGAGTTCCTTTTAAAAAACAAAAAACGATAACATACATACACTAAGTTAGTGAACTAGCTGGAATTAAATGGAATGTTTCAAGTGCAATAAGAACCTGTACAGCTTATAATTAGACACATTTAAAAATACAAATAGGTCAGCTCTAACAACCTGCTATTCAAAGTATATTCGTTAGATAAAGTACCATATTAATAATGACCTCAAAACATTCACCACATACCCTGCTAACTGCCTTCATCATTCTGCAGAACAGCAAAATCTTTTTTTCAAAAACCCGGCAAAGAATGACAGGTAATATGCAAGAACTTACAAATCGTAAAATTAATGAAGAAAGAATGTAGCCTCTTGATATAATAAATTAAACGGAAAACTCAATATCACTAAAACATGAGAAGACGGAAAGAGATCAAAGGCAAAACTTACACAAAAACAAATAAGCTTTGATACTGTTTATTACGGAATCGCCAGTAGTATAAACTTTATGGGAATCCTACAAGGTGTTTAAGGACTATTTATATCTCGGTCTAAAATTAGAAGTTTGCCACTTTATTTATTTATTTAAACACAAACATTCGCACAAGAAGGCATCAAATAAATATCCACCACACAAGTCACTTGATTTGTGTATGGGCTGTGATACTGCCCAGATGCCCAGGTCGAAGCAGGTAGTATTCTTAGGGAGTCACACTCCGAGCATTTGACACAAAAATCTAATCCACAAGGTAGTGGAGCAACGTTAGAAGATGCAGTCCCATGGTAGTCGATGACCAACAATTGGTTCATACGCCATTTGTTCCTTCAAAATACTGGAGCCCATATGCACCATTCGTTTGGAGTTAGGGTCTACCAAATCCCCTGGGTGGATCCTCCATATCCACCAACCCGGTTAAGGCGCCGGACATTCGCTTTTCGCCCTCCAAACTTCGTAAATAACACCCCCACCGCGAGAAGGCATTGGGTAAGACTTCCCTGATCGTGGCTGTATACGCGTGGCCATGTGTGAGCATTTCGAGAGGGAGAGCAGACTCTCCCCACTCTCGGTCGTACCAGGGCATTTGAGGGAAGTTTGCGATTCAGAAAGATTACGTGTGAAGCTATTAACAACCAACGATCGTTCAATGAGAGACAAAAGCTCATTCATTTCAAGGGGACATAAATAGGTAGATATCGGTGTATATGCAATGAGATCGTCCATACATTGAACAGAAGTATTTCCTGTAGAAGATGGCAGATCATTTAGGGGAAAAAGGAGACAGAACAGCCCATTGTGGCACACCTTCATGAGTAAGCGGAGACGTAGAACACTTTCTTCCGAAGACGGTGTACTGCTCTTTTCCAGAAAGGTAAGAACGCATCCAGATGATTATCAAGTTGTAGGTTTTAATGACAGTAAACGTGTTATGGTGCAAAATAATAGCAGCATCGAAGATACTTCTTTTGCATTTGTAAGCAAACTGATATGGATCAATATGCTCTTTGAATGCAGGTTGAAGTGGGAGTAGTAGTAGTTTTCCCATTGTTTTGAAAAAAGAAGTTATTGCTATGGATGTAATTTTCACATTCCTATCACCATATACTTTCCTCCACCTTTTCAGTACGAAATTAGTTGAGAAGGATTTGTTAAAGATGCCCATGAATGGATGACATAGAGTGTCAGCACACTTCTTAAAAAGGAGGTTTGGGATTTCGTCAGGTCCCAAATATTAGAACGAGTTGATTGACTGGAAACACTATCAGTCATCAGTTTCAATGAATATCGAAACACAACTATTCTTTAAACTTGTGGATACAGGAAGCATGACATCAGATAACTGACGTACAAAAGACTTATTTAAGTCATAAACATCAATATATCTCCCACCTGTAAGCTCTTTTAATAGTTTCCACACATTCGAAGAGTTTTTACAAGGTATGAGTATCTAAGTAAGCATCGGATTCGGATTGGTGGGTGTCATTACCAAGGTCTGACTCGATAATTCCACATAAATTGAGCATTGGGTAGATTTTTATTAATCAAAATAATATATCTGTAATACTGAAATGAGTAGAAAAATCAGGTTTTTAAATTTTTTGACGTTTCGTTTTTCAGTGTAAGCCGCTTCTTCTGAAATGGTTTTAGTTGTATGGGATTTGTTCAAGTGGACGGTTTTACTATAGATTTTTTATGCATTATACAAATGATTATTGGGACAAAATTTGGTTATGAATCTAAGAAAATAAGTTTAAAAAACATACTTTTTATGCACACTGCAGAAACTAAACTCATCAAGACAGGCCAGAACGAAATATTCAAATAGACGTGTCAGTCAATATATGCTGTGGCGATTGATGAAAATAAGTATCTTGTCTGTAACTTCGATGCTTTCGTTTTCTTTAAAATTCGATACGGTTGTGAAATACATAATGTTCAATTTCCCCCCCCTTGTAAAATGTATTTACCATCACCTTTTGAAGAACAGCTTGTCTACACGCTTTTTCTAGATTTCCGCTGCTTAATTGTAGATTAAAATTAATCTCCAACTTAAATTTACGGAAGTTTTTTTAAAGATCGAATGCACAGCTATCAGCTTTCACGTTAAGATTTCACTACACAGTGTCATGAAGACCTGCATCTAACATCTAATTCATCATTGTGCAAGAATTTATCTGATAAGTCTAACAATTCAGTGAGTTTCAACCTTATTTGTTGGCGCTTTTATTATATCAGTACATATGAACTTACTTAGGACGTAGTAGCTTGACAACTTGACGCTCCAATTCTAAGGTAAATACATAGGTCATGTAGTCTGTTGTGAAACCTACAGAAGCTGCGGAAGGTGGAAATTGTGGAGCGAAACCTGGATACTTTGTTACTTTAGCATCAGCTATTTCACGCAGAGAACGGACCATATTATCAGTATCCGGTATATTTGGATTGACATTTCCAGGAGCAGTAAACTGAACACGGCGCAGTAGTACTACAGGTCGCAAAAAAGGAGATTCAGAATAAATGCCTAAAAGACCAGGTGGAGAAATGATCCAGTTCATTTCATGCAATGCATCTGAATCGGCTTTGCATCGAGGCCAAACAGAAATCCGCTCCTTTCTGAACGACCGTGTACACGCTAAATACAAAGGAAAGCAAATGTTACTATATGATTTAGTCATACAACTAAAATAATAAGCATAAATCAGACAGTTACGTGAAAACAAAACAATGTTCCATGAACTCGATATACATTTCAAACATTAGCAAGTATTGTATAATAAATTTAATGTGATCACCATTCACTACTGCTATTTCTAGTTTCTGTCAAGTACATACAAGATGGAACCAGAACTTAGCAAAAACTCGAAGTAAAGTAATACCATGAACGTCTATGGTAATGATTCTAACTAACAACAAACGCATTAAGGAAAATAATAAATTCACATCAAAGAGAGCTGGTTTAAATAAATAAAAAAGAAATTAAGTCACACCATTTTATTCAGCAATTGTGTCGATATGAAGCCTAAGAAATACGCTTAAGTCAAGTTCGAATTTGTTGGCGAGTGACTGATCTATAAATCTCTTATCTCCCAATCACCTAGGAAATTTAATTATGTTTATTTTGTAATTAATGTATTGTACATAAACATAATATTTTGTTAAAAGAAAACTTATTCTGGTGGATAGTTGACTTGTTTTTTTAGTGTGATTTTATTTAGTGACTTACGGCAATAATTTGAACTTGTAAACAGTTATTACTCGCTTACACCGCATCAATGAGTCTCCTCTGTCGATCAGAATTAAATTCCTTTAACAAGCTAAATGCCACTCGCTATTATAAAATACTTGAAATCCTTCCATGACATATACCTTCAACGACGGAGTCTTACACGTGAAAATCTGATACTACGGTAAGAAAGACCACATACATGCAAAAGAAACAAATTTTTCGGTACTGAATTTTAATACACGTGCAAGGTATAAAATGAATTCGTGATCTACGACGGCAGAAAATTAGTGATGTTATCAAACGTCAGTAAGCGAATAGCTGAGCTGATTCTGAACTTGCAGTAAGCACAGTAGAATTATCAGGTATTTTGTCTACAAGAGAGGGCTTAAATGAAATTCGATGATAACTTAGAGTGAAAAATATCCTAGAAAAGAAATCGAACATTACAAACCTTCTGCCCATCGAACAAAAGCCGCAGCACCCAGTTTTCGCGTGCGATTGATTGAGTCAGAAACTGAAACAAAATTACTCGACACAAATAATGATTCCACGGATGGATTGGCTGCACGACTGGTAGTCAGTGAATTACAAGTTGTAGTGGCCGTGGTTGTACATGTCGATGTGGAATTGATATTGTTACGTGTGGTACAGTTTGTTGACCTCAATGCAACTGAGTTTACCGTGCCATGCGTGGATCCAGACGAAATAATTCCAGGCGCAGTGATGCGAATATTCGGCTGATAAGATAGTTGCGTAGGTCGAAAACCAGTGAACAGATTCCCATTCGGTCCTGCCACTGTATTAACATAACCTGAGACATTCGGGGGAGCAATGGTAACTTGAGATGGATTTGTTCCACGTAAAAGTGTTTGAAAAATACTGTTAAATGCTGGGTAATTTGCGAAAGCGTTGGCATTTGACTGAGCAATGTTACTTGTAGTGACTAAAGGGAAATTTGACGTTGAATTACTGACTAGAAAAGCAATTTTAATAAACTAGATTTATTTTACCGGTAGGTTTCTGTAGGACATTACTGCCTCTGGATTGTGCAGTTGATGGATAAGCATTAAATACATTTCTAGGAACGGAAACTAAGGATGATGCTTGTGATATGACCGGTATCGGGAGGGAGTAGTCAGAACGACATAACTCAAAAGGTAAACCAGATCTGATAGTACTATTTGGTAGATTAGGAGTGCTCATTTTCAAACTATAAGAAGCTAAGGAGATTTAAAATAAATAAACAGAAATTAAGAATGGTGAGACAATAATTATGCAGAAAGATTTATATATATATATATATATATATATATATATATATATATATATATATATATATATATAATTAAAATTCCCCGATACATTCTATAGCAATTCACTGTTTAACTTTGCGATAGCAACCCTTTAAAAGTACAGGACATAGGTTGATTATTGTTTGACAATAGATATCTTCGTAGCATTGGTGGTAGATGGTGGAACAACAGAGTAGTATTGAAATTGGGTTTAATTATTTACTTGAAAACATAAATATTGGGACAAAGGGCACTGAATAAATATCCACCACACAAGTCACTTGATTTGTGTATGGGCTGTGATACTGCCCAGATGCCCAGGTCGAAGCAGGTAGTATTCTTAGGGAGTCACACTCCGAGCATTTGACACAAAAATCTAATCCACAAGGTAGTGGAGCAACGTTAGAAGATGCAGTCCCATGGTAGTCGATGACCAACAATTGGTTCATACGCCATTTGTTCCTTCAAAATACTGGAGCCCATATGCACCATTCGTTTGGAGTTAGGGTCTACCAAATCCCCTGGGTGGATCCTCCATATCCACCAACCCGGTTAAGGCGCCGGACATTCGCTTTTCGCCCTCCAAACTTCGTAAATAACACCCCCACCGCGAGAAGGCATTGGGTAAGACTTCCCTGATCGTGGCTGTATACGCGTGGCCATGTGAGAGCATTTCGAGAGGGAGAGCAGACTCTCCCCACTCTCGGCCGTACCGCTTCACTTATCTTGGAAGTCTCATCAGCCCTTGTGGTCTGGTGTGTGACGAAATCTCAGCACGGATACAGAAGGCTCGACTAGCTTTTGCTAACTTGCGTCATTTATGGCGCAGGCGAGATATCCGTCTATCAACCAAAAGACGTGTTTACTGCGCAGCAGTTCGTCCCGTCCTACTTTATGGCAGTGAAACATGGCCGGTAAGAGTAGAGGATACTCGTAGGTTACTAATATTCGATCATAGGTGTCTTCGAAACATTGCTCGTATATCATGGGACCATCGAGTAAGTAACACAGTTGTTAGAAAACGGGTACTAGGTAAGGATGCTATATCAATTGATGAAGTAGTGAAACTTCACCAGTTGAGATGGCTGGGACACGTGTTACGTATGCCCAACCACCGACTACCTCGACGTGCTATGTTCAGTGGTATAGGAGTATGTTGGAAGAAAGCTAGGGGCGGCCAGATCAAAACATGGCACAAGTCTATGAAGTCACTGACAAGTGGACTGAGTCATGTTGGTAGGTGTAGACTACCTGGTTGGGGACCACGAGATGATAGCAACCGATGGTTAGAGACCCTGAATGACATGGCTCAGAATCGTTTGCAATGGCGCAGGTGCATCCATTCTTTATGTTCTCCCAAATTCTAATCTTCTGAATTCTTTATGTCCCTTTTTTCCTCTTTCCAAATTTATTTCACTGGATCATATTCTTTAAATAACATCTTCAAAACTTAATCTTCCCGATTACTGCTTATACTCTTACTCTTACCTCTACCACTACGGGATTTGAATCGACAACTGTATCTCTGTGCTGATGTGGTGTGGCAACTCGAACTGATGTACGTACGTACGAAGTTCTACGTTGTTACTGACTGACTGACTCGGCCGTACCACGGCATTTAAGCAAGACACTAGGTGATAATAGCAAGGCGGTTGATGAAGTCACTAATCTACATTTACTGAGATGACAGGGATACATGTTACGTATCCTCTCCTGGCACTTAGCTTGACGCTTAATGCTGTCTGCAGCAGGGTAGGGTGAAAAAACGAAGGGTGGACAAGTCAAAATGTGGTGTTAAGCAGTGATTATTGGACTGAGAAGTGTTGGTAGATGCAGGCTCTGCATGGGATCCACGCGATAATTGTGACTATCGATTGGAGATCTTGTGTGGTTTAGCTGAAAACTATACACAGTAATCCAAATCGATATTTTACCTCCCTATAGGTGTTCGATTTCACTATTGGTTCATATTTTCCGTTAACTGATCATATTCTTTGTTTTTCAAGCAACTTTGACCCACACACGTCCCCAAATACCGTGGTACGGCCGAGAGTAGGGAGAGTCCGCTCTCCCTCTCGAAATCCTCTCACATGGCCACGCGTATATAGCCTCTGCCAGGGAAGTCCTACTCACTACCTTCTCGTAGCGGGAGTGTTATTTACGAAATTGAGAGGACGAGGCCGATGCCCCTTCTGACAACCAGAGCGACCATTTATTTAGGTACATGGAATGTTCGTACAATGTGGGACACCGGGAGAGCCTTCCAAATTGCTGCAGAAATAAAGAGATACAACCTAGAGGTGCTTGGGATCAGTGAAACACATTGAACGCAAGTTGGACAACAACGACTATCTTCAGGACAGCTTCTGTTGTACTCCGGCCATGAACAAGAAAATGCCCCACGTACACAAGGAGTTGCATTGATGCTGTCCAAACAAGCACAAAATGCACTTATAGGATGGGCATCTCATGGACCAAGGATCATCAAAGCCTCCTTCAAAACAAAGAGGGTATTTCAATGAACATCATCCAATGCTATGCGCCTACCAACGATTACAATGAAGATGCTAAAGATCAATTCTACAATAGGCTGCAGTCAATCATCGAGAAGTGCCCAACAAAGGACCTGACCATTCTGATGGGAGATTTCAATGCCAAGGTTGGGACGGACAACACTGGATATGAAGACATCATGGGACGACACGGACTGGGAGAAAGGAACGAAAATGGTGAGATTTGCAAACCTATGTGTCTTCAATAAACTGGTCATAGGCGGTACCATATTCCCACATAAACGCACACACAACAACATGGACTTCACCGGATCACACCACGCAAAACCAAATCGACCATATCTACATCAACAAAACGTTCAGGAGGACTATAGAGAACGTGAGAACCAAGAGAGGAGCTGATATAGCATCAGATCATCACTTGCTGGTCGCCAAGATGAAATTGAAACTCAAGAAGCACTGGACAATGGGGCGGACAATATCACAAAAGTTCAATACGGCCTTTCTTCAGGATACTAACAAACTCAACAAATTCAAGATAGACCTCAGCAATAAGTTCCAGGCCTTTCATGATCTACTCAATGGAGAAGGAACTACTGTGGAGAGCAACTGGAAGGGGATCAAAGAGGCAATCACTTCAACATGTCATGAGGTCCTGGGTCACAAGAAGCACCATCACAAGGAATGGATCACTGTTAATACACTGGAGAAGATTCAAGAAAGGAGGAACAAGAAGGCAGCAATCAATACCAGCCGAACAAGAGCAGAGAAAGCCAAGGCACAAGCTGAATACACAGAAGTAAACAAACAAGTGAAGAGGAGCATCAGAACCGACAAACGTAAATATGTGGAAGATTTAGCAACGACGGCGGAAAAGGCTGCAAGAGAAGGAAACATGAGACAATTGTATGACACGACAAAGAAACTCTCTGGACATCGCCGCAAACCAGAACGACCAGTGAAAAGCAAGGAAGGCAAGGTAATCACCAACATTGAAGAGCAACGAAACAGGTGGGCAGAACACTTCAAAGAACTCTTGAACCGACCAGCCCCACCGAACCCACCCAACATCGAAGCAGCACCCACAGACCTCCCAATCGATGTTGGCCCACCAACAATTGAAGAGATAAGCATGGCCATCAGGCAAATCAAGAGTGGCAAAGCAGCAGGACCAGAAGACATTCCAGCAGAGGCACTAAAAGCAGATGTAGCGGCAACTGCAAGGATACTTCACATTCTCTTCAATAAGATTTGGGATGAGGAACAAGTACCAAAAGACTGAAAAGAAGGACTTCTGATCAAAATACCGAAGAAAGGCGATCTCAGCAACTGTGATAACTACAGGGGCATCACTCTTCTCTCAATACCGGGAAAAGTATTCAACATGGTATTGTTAGACAGAATGAAGGACTGCGTAGACGTCCAACTTCGTGACCAACAGGCAGGATTCCGTAAGGATAGATCGTGTACAGACCAAATCACAACTCTACGGATCATTGTGGAACAATCAATTGGATGGAATTCATCACTCTACATCAACTTCATTGACTACGAGAAAGCATTTGATAGCGTGAATAGGACAACACTATGGAAGCTTCTTCGACACTACGGCGTGCCTCAGAAGATAGTCAATATCATACAGAATTCCTATGATGGATTAAACTGCAAAATCGTGCATGGAGGACAGTTGACAAAGTCGTTTGAAGTAAAGACTGGTGTCAGGCAAGGTTGCTTACTCTCACCCTTTCTCTTTCTCCTGGTGATTGACTGGATCATGAAGACGTCAACATCTGAAAAGAAACACGGGATACAATGGACATCTAGGATGCAGTTGGACGATCTAGACTTCGCAGATGATCTGGCCCTTCTGTCCCAAACGCAACAACAAATGCAGGAGAAGACAAACAGTGTAGCAGCAGCCTTAGCAGCAGTAGGTCTCAATATACACAAAGGGAAAAGCAAGATTCTCCGATACAACACAACATGCACCAATCCAATCACAATTGACGGAGAAGATTTGGAAGATGTAAAAACCTCTACATATCTGGGCAGCATCATTGATGAACATGGTGGATCTGATGCAGATGTGAAGGCGTGGATCGGCAAAGCAAGAGCAGCATATTTACAACTAAGGAACATCTGGAGGTCAAAGCAACTGTCAACCAACACCAAGGTCAGGATTTTCAATACAAATGTCAAGACAGTTCTACTGTATGGGGCGGAAACCTGGAGAACTACGAAATCCATCATCCAGAAGATACAAGTGTTTATTAACAGTTGTCTACGCAAAATACTTCGGATCCGTTGGCCGGACACTATTAGCAACAACCAACTGTGGGAGAGAACAAACCAGATCCCAGAGGAGGAAGAAATCAGGAAGAAGCGCTGGAAGTGGGTAGGACACACATTGAGGAAAGCACCCAACTGCGTCACAAAACAAGCCCTCACATGGAATTTTCAAGGCCAAAGGAGGAGAGTAAGACCAAAGAACACATTACGCCGGGAAATGGAAATAGACATGAGAAAAATGAACAAGAATTGGATGGAACTAGAAAAGAAGGCCAAGGACAGAGTGGGTTGGAGAATGCTGGTCGGCGGCCTATGCTGCATTAGGAGTAACAGGCGTAAGTAAGTAAATGGACAATGCTACGAACGTGTTTCTCCGAACAAAAAGGTCGTAAGTGCAACAGTGCTTACTGATCCGTTCTTTGGTATAAGCTTCCTATGTTATTACAGGTTTTTAATTGTGCATCAGAAAGACGTGATGCCAGCACATCTAACTCGTATCGGGGCAACAAGTTAAACTAGAACCATAAACAAGTTGCGCAGGTGTACAATTCAAACCTTTTAACGGCTGAACGAGTCCTGAGTAAAAGCAGTAGGTTGTATTCATTTCAATAGGATATCTCCGGCTGAGTTACCAACGCTTTTTAGTTGTCATTGGAACCTCTCCACAAGTCCGTTAGCCGTTGGATGGAATACTGTAATAATGATATAATGCGCACCCAAGACTTGAGTGAACCCATTTAACAAACTATGTTGGAATTAGGAACCACTATCTCAAGTGAATGCTAACGATACGCTAAAGTTTGAAACCCATCTGTCGATGAAAACAATCTCGAAAGAGATATCCACAGTAAGAGTAATCGATCATAGAATAAAACAAGCCATTGAAGTGAAGATGTAATTGAAACTATTAGATAGGTTCAATGGACTTACTAAGCCAGTGTGTATGGCATATCAAATCCTGCTAGTTCGGTGGTTGTATGTAAATCTTACCCCGCTGGAAATGCAAGGCATTCTGAAAACACTGCTATATATCAACATTCATCTTATGCTAAACAATTTTCTAACCCCAAATGCCCTGGTACGGCCAAGAGTGGGGAGAGTCCGCTCTCCCTCTCGAAATGCTCTCACACGGCCACGCGTATATAGCTTCTGCCAGGGAAGTCCTACTCACTGCCTTCTCGTGGCGGGGGTGTTGTTTACGAAAATGAGAGGACGAGAAGCGAATGTCCAGCGCTTTAACCGGATTCAAAACCAATGGTGCACATGGGCTCTAGTATCCTGCGGGAACAAATGGCGTATGAACCAATTGTTGGTCACCGGCTTCCATGGGACTGCATCTCCTTACGATGCTCCACTGCCTTGTGGATCAGACCTTCAGGTCGAAGGCTCGGGGTGTGGCCCCCTAAGATAACCACGTGCTTCGATTTGGGCACCCGGGCAGTATCACAGCCCTCACACATCGAATGAGATTTGTGTGGCGCATATGTATTTGATGCCTCTTTGTACCATTATGTATGTGTTGAAATAAAAATGAAATAAAAAACTCAGTGATAGCACGAATCTCAGGATGAGATTATATATTATGCTCAAAAACTCCTGGAAGGCTGTCGATACAAAGTCAGTATGTTGAAGTAGATGTGTCGCATACAGTTGTAGGACCTGAGAACGATGGTGAAGTACACTTCAATACTGAACAAAAATTTCCCCCACACACTTCTGGACTGTAGCTTGTTTATGATGATAGTTTAACACTTCTAGGACAACGTATAGCCTCTACGAGAAACTAGACGCTAACAGAACATCTTCTTGTGATCTAGTCGCCAGATGTGAACAATTCGAGGCCTACAGCACCTAAAGACACGGTACCTAGATAAGATTGCACTTCTACATAAGGAAAGTAACTACAGGACACCTTACCACATTTCTGAGGTGTTACACTATATCCCAAACAACCAATAAAGGGGAAATAAAGCGGACGAAAGCGTAAATAAAGGGGAAATGTCGCTTTTTCGCCTTCACGGCGGTTATTTAGGGGAAACATCGATTTTCCCCTTACGGCGTGTATTTTGGGGAAATTTGTCGACAATTATACGTAACATAGTGTTTGAATATACCGCATCCCGAACTAACGTTTTCGTAAACGTCGACAAATTAAGGCACCGCCTAATAAAAAAACAAAGCTATTGTCATAAAAACAAGGTACAAAATAATGCACCAGGCATTCGGGCGAGACGCATATGCACTGACTTCGTTTTTTGTTTAGCTAAAGTGTTCCGACATGCTTAGGAGCCATCACAAAAAACTTACGTGATGCAGGTGAGTGACGTGCTCTCCGATTTTCATGTTCATTATAACTTATTACCTTGTTAGTCCAATATGAGTTTCATTGAAGTCAGTGAGAATGTTCGTAGACGTAAGGCCACTGTGAACTTTTCACGTACCTTTGGCTGTCACAGAACCACTTATAACAGAAGGTGGAATAAAATGCGAGCCGCTTTCATGAAAAAATATGACTTTATTTCGTTTAGTGAGTTTGCTAATGAAAGCACCATAAAAGGTAACTGAGTTCAACAGTGTTGTATATTAAATTGATAGAAGTAAAGAGAGAAATCAGTTGTAATGACAGTACTTCTACTGTTACACCATCCACTAGCAACATCAATCAGAGGCTTTCAGATAATAGTGGTATGTACATTAAGTTCATACGTGAAAGTATTAATTATAGGATGTACTGAAGTGAACTTGTGCTCTCAGAAGTTCGTAAATCGCAGAGCTGATGAACGACTTTATGATGTATATAATGTCAAATACATCGCTGAGCTTTGATAGGTTGTACAAATTGATGCAGAACATATCCGCAGCTATTACTAATTTGAGTATTAACGTGAAGCAATTACTATGTAAGTCCAATGAACGACAACAACCGCATCAATTCGACTGCGGAATCTCGAGTCAGCAGTTCCCTTTGTCATCTGAAGAGGAACTGCAGATGCTGGACACTGGTTTGCAGCAGAAAGAAACCAGGGACCGATTTGTAAGTCACCAACATTAATTTGATAATTTGTTCCTATTACAGATGGCAATGGTTACGAGGTTATCAAGTGACGATCCGAAAACATCAATGCGGTATGTTCTGTCGCACCTCTTGACACCTGAGGTTGCCAGTAAATTCACGTTACTTGGCACCTCCTCAAAACGAGCACTTCAGAAATGCCGGTTTTACGGCTGCATACGAAGTAACTCATATTTATTATTTGAACTTCAGGTGCCTTAACAAATCGCTTTGTCATTCGCTGTCAACGAAAAAGACCTTGCTGAGCTGTACGACATCGCGACACAAGGTTACTTTCACGATATCCGAGACAAAATGATAAAGTGTAATAGAAGGAAACAAGATCAGGTATGTACTAATTTAAAGTGATTAATTCCCTACGGCTCTGTAGTTACAGTCAACAGTATTAACGAACATAACCGTAAGTTCAGCTTTAAGTAAATGGCTGTGCCAAAGCATGTCATTGAGATATCGTTGTGACTTTTTTTTTTTTTTCACTTCAGAATTCACGGGACGACTACCTCAATTCTCAATAACCGAACGAACATGGTTGAAGGGAATAGTCCGTGCAATTTTCTTTATGTTCTACCTCATGTTCAATAAAAAAATTTTTGTAAAAGAGCTTACTTTATTACTTACATGGGAAACTATAGAAGTGTTGAGAATGTGTGTTTGTGTCAGTGAACTTTTGATTAAATGCACATTCCTTATAAATAATACATCACCTGTTCCTTCTTTTGCAGACAATTTCAAATAACAATGAATTAGCAATTGCAATGGAAATGCAAAACAATCAATGCTGAAGCTTCTGCTTTAATGTTGTACAATAATACGCTTTTCCTTTTAAATAAATTTTGTTTAATATACCGGTTTTCCAGTGCATTGCAGTTTTATTTTGGTCTGTTGTTGAAAATAAAGGCAAACATAGGCGACCTTTGGGGTTATGCCAATGGATAGAAAGTATGGAGTTCTGTGTGTATTTAGGCGAAAAGTAGACAATTAAGCGTATAAGTAGGCAATACCACGGAATTTTAGGCGAAAAGTAGACAATTCGGCGGGCATTTAGGCGAAAACTAGGCAATTCCGCGGAAATTTAGGCGAAAAGTCGGCAATTCATCAACAAAGCGGCGAAAAAGGCGACATTCTGATGCGTTTTCCCCTTTCTCTTCTAAAGCATTTACCCCTTTATTTCCCCTTTTTGGTTGTTTAGGACGCTTATTAATAGAAATATATAACGAACCAAATTGTGTGCCTTTTGGAAACAAATTGAGGGATTTAAAGCCTGCGGGAATTATTGACGAATTCGCAAGAAAATTTTGTTAATAATTTGTTAACTTCCATCTCCACCAATATTGCTTTGAATCACATGATATGACTCAAACCAAAATCAACAAATAGTAATGTATACAGTATACCCATGCAGTGTATAACATTAGTGCATTATTAGTTGACTCATATCCACTAACACGATATTATAACAACCCGAAAATTTAGAAACGAAAAAGCTAAACACGAAAAATCATACAGAAACTTTGTGAGGACTCACGGAACTAGCTGATAGAACCCTTTCCCGCCAGGAGGATGGCATTGAAATATGATTCAGATATAGATACAATATCCAATATCTTTCAGATGAGCTTGCACTGAACGAAAAAAACAAATAGTTATTCATTTATGAAGTAGAATGTGTCCTAGATTTCACCTATAGTAAGGAAAGATGACCAGACGCTGCTAAGCATAGCAAGCTACAAAGACGGGCAGTCATCGGCGTTCACATGGAATATGGCCAAGATTGGCTGAAATCATGATTGTGTTGCCCCTTTGTTTCTCTGCAAGCAAGTTCCCCGAGCAAATTGTTTAGAGGTAATCGATCTCTTTATTGAAACTAGCACTTCTGGCAAGTATTCTAGCTCAAGTCAATTAACCAAGCATTATAGACATATCTCTACGCATTCGATGGGGGACACTTTTCCCAATATCTAGGCAGCTACCTCAGAAGTCTGGCATTCAGATGATTATGTCTACAATTACATATCCTCTTTCTTCTGACCACGTGGTCACTTATAGTAATATCTGAAGCATGGACTAACAGTAATATTTCCGACCTAAGTATATCTCTTGTTAACTATTTCTTATATAGAAGCGATGACTGAAAGGATGAGGAGGAGGATGCCTTATTTACACTCACTCTAGCCAAAACTCACTACTATGTGATATCCCAGAACTAAACAAAGTGAAGGATTCACTGTGAATGTCGACAGCATCAGGCACCCTGGAAGTGATTGCCATACTGCATGTTTTATTCTGGATGCTTTTGGATCATTACTACTCCTCACGAATGGTGTTATATATGTCGTCTACTGAATAATCTAATTTTCAAAAATAACCAAGGCAAGTTCAACTATTTTACCTAATGATTTTTTGTACTTAACATGTATATGTTTTCCAGTTGCTTTTGCCATATATTTGTAAGTGTCCCTAGGATTAATGCAGTAACTTCTTATGGAATGTTTATAACGCGTCATATTCCTGCCTGAAGTTTCACAAGCATCCTTAACTTTGAATTTATTTATCTGGTCATGTTCATTATTTTTAAATTGTCATATACGTCAACAACCTGCTTGTTAACCTGGCCCGTACATACGTTACACTATATCTTCATGTCTTCTAAATTTAAAAACCATCTGAATCGCCTTAAACATTTATCAATAAACCCATCATAGTCGCTGTTGCTAATCGTATTTGGGTTTATGGATTGATTTATCATATTATTAGCCAAAAATGCGAACATAGTTTAGATAATAAGATTGAAAATTTGGGTACTATCAACTGCACTAGTAAAATAACTAAATCCCCAGGTAGCTGTTGGTTAAACAAACGTTTAAAATCAAAACTCCGTAGCCTACTAGAATTAACACTAAACGAATATTTCTGAATTGAAATTTATAATTAAATTAGGCCTCTCGGGTTCTTTAACGTTATAAATTTCTGATAACTTCGAATCACCTAAAGCAAAGCAACAATACCTATTTTTCCACTGACTAATCCTCATTCAACACTATAACTAGTTAAACATAATAGTTTCAGGATATCGTCATAGAGCATTGTCATAACTTGACAATCACGTAATATGACTGATAAAATTAATGAAACTATTAACGAAATCGGTCAACAAATTGACTTATAATTACCATTAAATGGTGTTGTTTTATTGGTATCTTCATCTATCACAGATGATCACAGTATGTTTCTCTATCAGTTGCTCATTCAGTAAATATCTCAAAACCTTGTCAGTCTTATTGATGGTTTAGCGACACAATCATGCATGCAAATAATCGGTATAAGCAGTCGAGCAAATCTCCTGCAAACTGAAAACATCAATGTCGAATTTACCCTAACACTGACTAAGGTTCAAGCCATTATCATAGACATGAGTTGTGAGTGTACTCCCCTTGCTCACAACTTATGTTCTCCCTGATAATCACATGAGCATCACTCACTATTAAATCATCTTGTAAAAACTTATTTAGTCAAATACATCTTGCAGCACCACATCACCTAGGAATATGACACATATGATTAACTGATTTCAATAACTTATAACCATAATATCTCAATTAAGTCGTATTCCGCCTTATGATAAACCGCGTACTTGCAACTAACTTGTATGCCCAATCAGCCGGCAAGTATAAATATAAATAAATAGTCTGCCGCAGATCAGAACATTGAGTCTAGAGCATGTCTCTTACGAATGCAATCGCGTTTAACGAATCGCTCTTAGTTATCTGTCCAAAATTCATATAATTATCACTCACGTATTTAAATTTTGTTTTGGTGACCCTTCATGTGTATTGGTGGTATTACTACATTCTATCACTGTCAAGTAAAAATGAGGTTGAGAAAATCTCCCCGTAACTAAATAAACTGTGTCAAACTAACTGGAACACTAGTTGGAACTCTTCTCCACGGTAGTATTTTTGTTCCTTCAGTTAGTCTACTAATACAAATGCAATTGAAAATCAACTTATGGACAACTTACTAGCATTAACGTTATTTGATTTTATAATTTAAACCAAAACTAATACCAATATTAACATTTCTACAATATTGATTGCTTTTAATATTTCTAAACACAAAATACTTACTACCTATGCGTTATTAACCAACGGCTATTAACACGCATCTTTTTATTATTGTTATTGTAATCCCATTTTTTATAGCTCAAATAATCTTCACCCAAATTCTCATTTTAAGCGTGTTAAGCTTGAAAGCAGATATTTTAAAATTATTACATGTATTTCTCGACCAAGTGCTACCGCCCTCTTTTTGATTTATCTTTCAGCATATCAATATCCGGAGGGTTCTACTTATTCTTGGTAACCTCCGGCGCGCGACAATCCCATCCAACTTGGTATCGAACCAATACCACGTTGATTCTGGTGGGAGAGTAGTGTAGTGGCATTGGACAATAACCACACAATCTTCAAAGCCGAACATGAGACAACTCAGAAAATAGATATTCAATATTTAACGCGGAGAAATACCTAACGATGGAGAAGGCGCGAACAATGAGTTGAATGAAGTGGAGTTGATCGAATGTCATGGCTCGGCCATGCAGGTGTGGTCCCTACTGAATGTTACCTTATATCTTTTATTCCGACTAAATATATTGTTCTATCTTTAGCCTGAGCTTGTTCTACATCATGTATTGGTGATTGTTACGATACGATGAGTTGATGTAGACGATGATGTGACTTCCACGTAAGATCTTATGGATTAGGCAGTTATATCACAAAAAATCTACAATTTTAGGATTGGGTCTATTATTAGCGCAGTACTAATATCATAGTAGACCATAATTCTACAGTGTCACTAAGCATACTTCCGGTGGTTTGCAATGTCCTAATATATCGATATCTACTGTATGACTGATCATGTAATTATTGCAACTATTTCGCCTGTTAGTTATTGCGCAGTTCCCGAACGTAGCTGCTACCTTGACGGGGTGGTCGGGCTTTCCTATCGTGGTGACCCAACCGAGCTATATTGGCTGGAGCATATGTTGCTGTAGGTTCTACCATGCCAGGCAGGTCGATTGGAGAACGGTAAGACTAAAAGCAGCAATTCAAGGTCTGAGGGCGAAGTCGTACTGCTGACTGTAGAGGGGTGTGACAACAGTAAGATGTTTCCCTCGGACAACCAGCATCTACAGCGATGCTGCCTTCTCACAAGAAAGGATGGGGTTAGAAAAGTCAACCCTAAAAATGTCACACCTCACCTTACCTCACGGATTTCCGTCTCCGGCGGTAAGGCCCTCTGAAGAACGGAGCCAACACGTCAAAAACCTCCTACAACAAGGCTGTGCGCGACGGGCTCCAGGCAGTTGTCCCCTGGACTCTGCGGTCACACTCCCAGGTTGTTAAGGCCGACATCAAATCGGATTCCTTTTCAGGTTCCTCAACAAATGCCCTTTCACGGTGTGGGCAGCCGGGAAGTGACACCAGCCCTCATATCCGTAACAGCACACGAGACCAAGTTGATCACATCCAAATCCTTCCCACACCTCCTAATACCACTCTTATCTCCCCGACTAACCCTTCTCATGTCCTTTTTCACCTCACACCGCTAAGGCAAACGATTCGAGTACGCGGAAAGTACGTAACATGGCTGGGGCACGCGTTACGTATGCCCAACCACCGACTACCTCGACGTGCTATGTTCAGTGGTATAGGAGTATGTTGGAAGAAAGCTAGGGGCGGCCAGATCAAAACATGGCACAAGTCTATGAAGTCACTGACAAGTGGACTGAGTCATGTTGGTAGGTGTAGACTACCTGGTTGGGGACCACGAGATGATAGCAACCGATGGTTAGAGACCCTGAATGACATGGCTCAGAATCGTTTGCAATGGCGCAGGTGCATCCATTCTTTATGTTCTCCCAAATTCTAATCTTCTGAATTCTTTATGTCCCTTTTTTCCTCTTTCCAAATTTATTTCACTGGATCATATTCTCTAAATAACATCTTCAAAACTTAATCTTCCCGATTACTGCTTATACTCTTACTCTTACCTCTACCACTACGGGATTTGAATCGACAACTGTATCTCTGTGCTGATGTGGTGTGGCAACTCGAACTGATGTACGTACGTACGAAGTTCTATGTTGTTACTGACTGACATTGCACAGTTTCTACGACTGGGTGTTGCACAGACACGAATTCGAATTGTATTGCCTGATTGATTATCAACACAACCGTAGTGCTATCGGTTCCCAACCACATGATCTTCGGTGTAAAAAATAGGATTACTGAGAAGATTCACTTTCATTATGTTGCACTAAGAGAAAGTCAACAATGGTGGATGAAAGAAAAGTCACTCAGTCGGGTGGCATGGCTCAGCCTTGTAGACGTGGTCATTCTGTATAACTCATCTTTACTCATATTAAATATATACCGTTCAAATGTGTTCTTCTGAAGTATTATTTACCATACTGCTAACGATTACGATAAGGTGAGTCAGTGTAGACAAAGATGGGAATTTCACGTGCGATCTTGTAGATTAGTTAATGACAACATTACAAATCTACAATTCGTGGATTATGTCCATT